AGAGGGAGTTTCACTCTGTCGCCCAGGCTGAAGTGCAATGGCGCGATCTCAGCTCACTGCAACCTGCACCTCCTGGGTACAAGTGATTCTCCTGGCTCAGCCTCCCCAGTAGCTGGGATTACAGGTGCATACAACCACACATGGCTAATTTTTATATTTTTAGTAGAGATGGGTTTTACCATGTTGGCCAGGTTGGTCTCAAACTCCTGACCTCAGGTGGTTTGCCCGCCTCACCCTTCCAAACTGCTGGGATTACAGGCATGAGCCACCACCTGGTGAGCCACTGCCCAGCCAATTTTGACTTCAGAAGTATGCAGACTCATTATACAAATTAGAAACAATTAAATCAAACTAAAAAATTCTATAAATTGCAAATGAACTGAAACACATGAGCCAACTGTTGGTGGGAAAACAACAAGAAAATAGGATTCCTTTAAGTAATATTATTTATTTTTGTTTTTGAGACAGGCTCCTGCTCTCTGTTACCCAGGCTGGAGTGGAGTGGTACAATCAAAGCTTTCTGAAGCCTCAATCACCCTGGCTCAAGCAACTTTTCACCTCAGACTCCCAAGTGGCTGCGACTACAGGCACTTGCCACTGTGCCTGGTTAATTTTTTTTTTTTTTTTGGTAGAGACAGAGTCTCCCTATGTTGCCCAGACTGGTCTTGAACTCCTGGGCTCAAGAGATCCTCTTGCCTCTGCCTCCCAAAGTACTGAATTACAGGTGTGAGCCACTGGGCCTGGCCTAAGTCATAATAAAATACAATACTGTGACTGTAAACACCAGTGGAATATATTTAAAAGCAAAAACTATAAAGAAATCTTAAACTGCACACTGTGGTTGATATATGAAATGCTGGTATTATTATTTTAAAATAATTAGAGAACTTTTATAGAATAAAAACAAAGAAGTAATAATATTACCATCATTAGCAAACAAGACATTCCTAAAAGGGAAGAGATATAAGCATAAAATCAAAGGAGAAAAAACCTTATAACCCTGTTTTTTTCTCTTTTTTTTGGTTTGTTATTGTTGTTGATGTTTTTGAGATGGAGTTTCACTATGTTGCCCACCTGGCCTTGAACTCCCAGGCTCAAGCCACCTCAGCTTCCCGAGTAGCTAGGACTACAGGTGCATGCCACTGTGCCCAGCTAAAACCCTGTAATTTTAAATTTCAATTGTAAATATCAATGTAAAACCATTATTTTCTTTACTCTTCAAAAGATATGTATTTCCATGGCAGGGCATGGTGGCTCACACCTGTAAATTCTAGCATTTTGGGAGGCTGAGGCAGGAAAATCACTTGAGGCCAGGACTTTGAGACCAGCCTGGGCAACATAGCAAGACCCCATCGCTACAAAAATTAAAAACAGCTGCGCATGGTGGCATGTGCCTGTGGTCCCAGACACTTGGGAAGCTGAGGTGGGAGGATCACTTAAACACAGGAGTTTGAGGCTGCAGTGAGCTCTGATCGTGCCACTGCACTCCAGCCTGGGTAACAGCAAAATTTTATCTCTAAAACATAAAAAATAAGTTTAAATGTGTATTTTCTGGCCATGACTATAAGTAAGTCCTAGAATAAATGACAACCTAGTATCAAATTAGCACTCCAGCACCCAGATTGTGGTCTCTAAATACCATACCTACTTTAAAGAAAAAAAAGCTCCTCGGAGAAACAGCAGATTGCAAGTTTGGGGCAGGTTATGTTCAGGAGGTACTTGGGAATCTTACTGGTCCAGAAGGCAAGGACTAACTATATCAAAGATACATCACTTCAGAAGAGCACAGAAACCAGTCTGACAGAACTCTTGCTGCTCTAGAATTTGATCATCAAAAGAATGATTACAGCAATGAATTCAAACTCATCAAATGTATATATATACATATATGTACTTGAATACATGAGTTAATAATATTTAAAACAAAAGAAAAATCAACTTCTGAAATGGTAGAATGATTACCTCAGTTAATCCACTCTCCCATAAAAGAACCAAAAGACTGGCTAACCAATGAAAATCAATCATTTCAAAGTTCTAAAATTAACCAAAGGCACAGAACAAACAAAAATCATCTATTCAAGACAAGCCACTAAACCTCAGTTAGAAGAGCGAAATTTAACATTTTAAGTTGGGGCCATTATCTTCCCTCTTCCTTCTCCAGCTCAAAAAGAAAATTTTAGAACTGAAGATAATCCAATTAAAAAAAAAAACTCTATGGGTAAGTTCAACAGCAAAATGAGGCAGACAAGAAAGAATGAGTAAAATTGAAGACAAAACAACAGAAAACACGCAATCTAAACAACAGAGAGACAACATTTTTAAAAAACGAAGAGGGTCTGAGGGACCTGTGGGACAATAAGAGAAGCTCTAATGTTAGTTTTATCAAAGTTCCAGAAAAAGAAGAAATGACGACTGAAAAAGCATTTGAAGAAATAACGGCTAAAAATTTTCTAAACCTGTCAAAAGATATTAAGTCTATAAACTCAAGAAGCTAAGTAAATCCCAAACAAGATAAACCCCAGGAAATCCATAAAAAGATACACTAGGCTCAAACTTCTGAAAACTAAAAAGAAAAAAAATCTTAAAATTAACAAAAGAGAAACCTCTCTTAAAGCAGAGAGTTGGTGGTGGGGAGTGTCCAATGACAGCAGATTTCTCATCAGAAACTATGGAGTCCAGAAAGAAGTAGCACAATATTTTTTGAGAGCTGAGAGAAATGAACTTTCAACCCAGGATTCTATATCCAGCAAAAATATCCCTCAATAACAAATGGGGAAATAACACATTCTCAGATGAAAGGAAACAAAGACAATCTGTTACTAGTAGACCTCCCTTAAAAAGATGACCAAAGAAAATTCTCTAAATAGAAATGAAATGACAAAAGAAACTTGGAAAATCAGGAAAGAATAAATGACAACAGAAACAGTAAAAATATTGAAAAATATAATTTTCCTTCTCTTAAGTGTTCTAAATTATATGTTTGACAGTTTAAGCAAAAATGTTAAGCATGTCTGATGTGGTTCTCAAATATGTAGAGAAAATATTTAAAGCAATTATAAATAAAAAAGGGTAAAGAGCTGTAAAAGTACATAAGGTTTCTATACTTCACTCAAAGTAATAAAATGACGATTGTGATAAGTTATATATATATATGTAATGTAATACCTAAAGTAATCACTAATAAGTGTTACAAAAGGATATACTCAAAAACAGTACAAATCAAAATTCTAAAAAAAAGTTCAAGTAACCCATAGCAAAGCACAGGGGAAAAAAAGAACACAGGAACCAGTCTGAAAGAACTCTCACTGCTCTAGAGAAACAAACAAACAAAAACAGAAAAAATAAAGCAAAAAAGGCAGACTTGAATCAAAACATATCAACAATTACATTAAGTATAAATGGTATACATATATAAGGCCAGAATTTTTTAAAATGACTATATGCTGTTTCAAGAACCTTATTTCAAATATAATGACACAGGCATGTTGAAAAGAAAAGGATGAAAAAGATACATCATGTAAACATTAACAAAAGAAAGCATGAACAGGTAAATCCATTGAGACAGAAAGTAGATTATGAATGCCAGAGTCTGGGTGGAACAGGAAACAACGGCTAATGGTATGTTGTTGGGGGTGATGGAATGTTCTGGAATTAGCATGATGGTTGGACAACTTTGTGAACAGACTAAAAACCTCTGAATTATGTACTCTAAAAGGGTTGATTTTATGGTATGTGTATTGCATCTCAAAAAAAAAAAATCATGCTTCAATAAAGCTTTTTGAAAAAAAAAAAAAACAAAAAACCAAAAAACCCACAATCCTTATTAATTAAAAATAAACCAGTTTAGAATGAGCCAAAGACATGAAGAGATATTTCACTGAAGAGGATATAGAGATGCCAAATAGGAACATGTAAAGACGTTCAATATCACTGGCGGCCATTAGGGAGGTACAAATTAACACCATGATGAGCTGTCACTACCCACCTATCAGAATGGCTTAAACAAAAGTAATGACAACACCAGACAATAGTGAGGATATGGAGAAACTAGATCTCTCACATACTGCTGGAAAGAATGTAAAATGGCACAGCCACTCTGGAGCATAATTCTGCAGTTTTCTTTACTAAATATGATCTAGTGATTGTATTGCTGGGTATGTATCCCAGAAAAATGAAGTATTACATACATAATTGTTGATAGCAATCACTTGTTTGTAACAGCCAAAAACTGGAAACAACCAAAATGTACTACAACAAATGAATGGTTAACCAAACCGTAGTACATTCATGAATACCACTCCACAATAAAAAGGAACAAACTGTCAGCGTATGCAGAGCTTGGATGGATCTCAACGATATTATTTTGAAAGAAAAAAGCCCATCTCAAAAAGCCATGTACTGTTATTCTATTTATGTAACATTCTTTAAATGGCAAAATTAGAGAGATGGAGAACAGATTTACAGTTGCCTGGGATTAGGGAAAGTAGGGGGAAGGAGGATAGGTGTGAGAGCTCTTTGTGGTGATGGAATAGTTCTGTATCTTGACTGAGCGGATGGTTCCAGTTATCTACATATGTGATAAAATGACACGGAATTACACATTCTTTATAGGAATATCAATTTCCTCAGTTTCATATCATATTATAGTAACTAATGAGAGAAACTAGGTAAAAGGAACATGAAATCTGTAAGTGCTGTCTTTGCGAACTCCTGTGAATGCTTATTGCTTCAAAATAACTAGAAAGTAATCATCAAATTTTTAATGCTATTTTAAAAGAGGAGTCTGTTCATAACAACAGTTTCTTATTTTTTCAGCAAACATTATTAGTAACCCCCTAGTGCCAGGTTATCTGATAGGTACAGAGGATGGCAATGAAAAACAACCTACAACTTCAAAGAACTTCCAGTTCAGTGATAGAGAGATAAGTCAGACAATGTAACACAGGCAAGTGATATAACTGTGCATCCTAGAGAATAAATTCTGAGAATAAAACCAATACCTGCATCAAGCTGCTGCTCCCCGTTCATTTCCACAGCATATAGGCTATATCCTCCCAACACAAAGGAAAGGCCTATGGTTCTGCTAAGATCTGAAGATTACTTGCAGTTTTCAATCTGTTCAATGGGTATCCAAGGGTCCAAATGAAAGTGCTGAAAAATGAAAAATACCACATAAACAGCCTGAAGCCCAAGTGTGTTTACTTACTCATAAAACATGGCACTCCACTAATTGAGAGATAAGACAAAAACACTGGCAGAATAGATAGGATTGGAGGAAAAATTGACACCTTTTCTAATTTTGAAGAGTCTATATGCGTATTTGTGGGCACATGTACATCTGTGGATGTGTAGAAAGTACATGCTATCGAGATCTTGAAAACAAATCTAAAACTCACAATAACCTAAGATATATATGAATCATTACCCTTTAAATTTACATTACCATACTTAGCACCATGATTCCTACCCACAAAACTCCAATTCCTAACTGTTTCCTAAGGGGAGGGAGGAGTTGGCTTTCAATGCTGTCTTACCCAACAAATATGATTCAGGATACAATATACTACTTCATCTAATTTTTCATTTCATTTATCTAGATTATGCAGAACCATAAATATGAACCATATTAACCTACAATTATAAAGATAATTTCTCCAAAATAAGCTTTGAACCCGTTTATTCTTTTTTGAAAAAAACAGCTCTAGGGCTGGATGCGGTGGCTCACACCTGCAATTCCAGCACTCTGGAAGGCTGAGGTGGGAGACTGCTTTGAGTCCAAGAGTTTAAGACCAGCCTGGGCAACATGGCAAAACCTCATCTGTACTAAAAATACAAAAACTAGCTGGGCGTGGTGGCACACGCCTATAGTTTCAGCTACTTGGGAGGCTGAGGTGGGAGGATGGCTTGAGTCCAGGGGACGGAGGTTGCAGTGAGCCAAGATCACACCACTGTACTCCAGCCTGGGTGACAGAGCCAGACACTGTCTCAAAAAAAGATTTAAAAAAAAAACCAAGCCTGACTGAGACACAATTCACATATGAAAATTTCCCATTTTAAATGTACAAATTAATAACTTCTAGTGAATGTACAAAGTGTAACCATCCTCACAACTGAATTTGAGAATATTTCTACTATCCTGAAAAGAAGCCACATGCCCACTTGCAGTTCCTTCCCATTCCAACCCTAAGCTCAAGCAACCACTCATCTGCTTTCTCTCTCTACAGATTTTGCGTTTCCCGAACATTTCACATAAATGAAACCAATGATATGTGGTCTTTCATGTTTGGCTTTCTTTCGCTTATCATGTTTTTGAGGTTTACCCCTGTCGCAGTATGGATGAATCTATTTATTCTTGCTTTACATACATGTAAAATAATCTAAGATATTATCTTAATATGTGCCTAATACATTAGAAAGAGTAAAGGAAAGGGAGAAAGAGCTGGTACAGGAAAGCATGGCATGAACTAACTGCAAGAGTGACAATACAGAAAACTACAGAATTGGGATGGGTACTTAACAGCACAGCTTCAGGGGTGATATCCTGCAGGATAAGGCAATTCTGTACCTCTCAAAAGTTTTGAGTATGTATTACAGCCCCCAGTAAATGATTCTCATAAGCAACTTTAATCACAAAGAAAAAGCTTGGATTTTATTTTAATTAATTAATTTTTTTTTTTTTTTTTTTTTTTTTTGAGACGAAGTCTTGCTCTTGTCCCCCAGGCTGGAGTGCAATGGCACAATCTTGGCTCACTGTAACTTCCGCCTCCTGGATTCAAGTGATTCTCCTGCCTCAGCCTCCTGAGTAGCTACGATTACAAGCACCTGCCACCACACCCAGCTAATTTTTGTATTTTTAGTAGAGACGGGATTTCATCATGTTGGCCAGGCTGGTCTTAAACTCCCAACCTCAGGTGATCGGCCTGCCTTAGCCTCCCAAAGTGCTGGGATTACAGATGTGAGCCACCACGTCCAGCCAAAAACTTAGATTTTAATACATCCTTGTATCACTTTTATATACCTGAAAAGGTATCAGCTACCTAAAGGACAATACCTTAAAATTGGTAGGGATGGTAAGGCACGTGGCTCATACCTGTAACCCTAGCACTTTGGAAAACCAAGGTGGGCAGATCACTTGAGTCCTGGAGTTCAAGACCAGCCTGGGCAACACAGCAAAACCCTGTCTCAAAAATATACAGATAAAAATTAGCTGGGTGTGGTAGTGCATGCCTGTAGTCCAAGCTACTTGGGTGGCTGAGGCAGGAGAATGCTTGAGCCCAGGGGGTCGAGGCTGCAGTGAGCCAAAATTATGCCACTGCACTCCAGCCTGGGCAATGGGAGTGAAACCCTATCTCAAAAAAAAAAGGTGGGGGGGGGGTAAGAAAACCTAGGTTATAGTGATAACTAGCTAAGCAATCATGATACATTACCATATTATGTCAATTTTTTATCTGTAAAATAAGGATCTTTTTCAGATTTTACATTTTCATTTCATAATGAGGATAGAAAAAGTTTTTAATAACTATTAAAGTGGTGGATATCCCACTTGAGATAAATGCCAGTTATCCCAAATCATATCACAGAATATAAGCACTGAAACCCACACTTTCAAAGACGGGAACAATCGAATCGAAATTTGAGAGTGCTATTAAAGGCTTCTAAATGTGCTCTCTTCCCTCAGTTTACGTTTCTACCCCAAGCCCAAAACATTCAAACTGTATCACTCCACCTACTAATGTATTCATTTCCCACACACTTTTCAAACACCAGCTCCTTACCAATCGCTATTCTCGGGGATGGGGTAAAGCAATCAAGACAGACATGGTTCCTGCTTTCATGGAGCTTATTTCCAACTGGAAGGAGACAAATTCAGCCAATAATAATTAAAAAATCGTTTAAATTGCTATGAAGTAAAAGTACTGGGTGATAAGACAGAATATAAAAGCAGGTCTAACCTAACATGATAGGTCACTGACAGTGTCCCTGAGAAAATGATACAGCAGCTAGGCAAAAGGGGGAGGAGGAGGACTATTCCAAGTACCAAGAACAGCATATACCACGGTTCTACGGTGCGAAGGACCTGAAGGCTGCTGTGGCTGGAGCATGCGAACCAACAGAGCAAGTGGCAGACAAACGATCGAACAGGAAGAGAAGGGATAACAGCAATTAATATTTACTGAGGACTGCCTGCGTGCTGGGGCACTGTTTTAAGCAAGTTGTTGACAAGTTCAAGTTCCTATGGCTCTAATTTTGTGGATAATCTCCATATATAAAGTCTTGACACTTCAACATGGTTATGACAAAACAAGTCGGTCCTAAATAAGTATCGGTTGGGTCACTAGGCTTTGAAGATGTCATCTACTGTTTATGTTCATAAAGTCTTGGAACATGTTAGAGTATTTTGTGCAGAGAGCCACAAAGTACAAAAATGATCATTAATGAAGCTTCAAAAGTCAAAAGCCATGAAGTAGGAGAGATGCAAGTCTCATGTGGCAGAAAGCTAAGGCTGTGACATTTTTTCGACCTTACATCATCATTTAGATTTTAGCCAATGAGCAGTCAGTTCATCATCTTAAGAGGATCATAAGAAATAGGCTGTGAAGTCTTCTGCTGTGGAGTATCTGCTAATACTGTCTCTTTATTGTTAGCCTATGCTGTCTTTTTAGACAGTAAAGATAAAAATGGTAAAATATCCAGGAGCTTGTATATAAAAATTTAATTTTCCTTTACTGTTCATATTAAATTATGTTACTGTCATCATTTATTTTATCACTTATTTTGGTATTATCACCCCTCCTGTGGTAAACAGAATACACTAAGAGTTACTCATTTAAGGCCTGGTGTGGTGGCTCCCGCCTATAATCCCAGCACTTTGAGAGGCTGATGCAGGCAGACTGCTCGAGGTAAGGAGTTTGAGACCAACCTGGCCAACATGGTAAAACCCCATCTCTACTAAAAACATACACACACACACACACAAATTAGCCAGGTGCGGTGGTGGGCGCCTGTAATCCAACTACTTGGGAGGCTGAGAAGAGAACTGCTTGAGCCCAGGAGGCTAAGGCTACAGTGAGCCAAGATTGTGCCACTGCACTCCAGCCTAGGCAGCAGAGTGAGACTCCGTCTTTAAAAAAAAAAAAAACAAAAAAAACAGTGACTCCTTTAAATTAAATGCTTATAAGGTTGGGCCCAATGGCTCACCCCTGTAATCCCAGTGCTTTGGAAGCCTGAGGCAGAAGGATCTCTTGAGCCCAGGAGTCTGAGGTTACCGTGAGCAATGATCACACCACTGCATTCTAGCCTGGGTAAGACAGGGAGACCCTGTCTCAAAAATAAATAAATAAATAAATAAAAATTAAGACATTCTCATGAATGAACTGATCTGGATCTTACTCATCTAATTTAATACTTTAGTGAACTACATAGGTGCCTAGATATTTGGAGGAGGTTCTAAGAAAATATACTGAAGCTTGGAGAAATTTTAAACACTTCCAAGAAACAAATAAAAATTGAAAAGGCAAAGCTAACTAGAAAAAATAAGTTCTCAGGACAAATGCTTAAAAAAAACAACAGCTAAACCTGGGCACAAAAATCAAAATGATTTCTTTTTTTTTTTTATTGTACTTTAGGTTCTGGGGTACACGTGCAGATCATGCAGGAATTGTTTCATAGGTACATACATGGCAATGTGGTTTGCTGCCTCAACTATTTCACTTTTAAGTGGTTCATCAATATAATATAAAACTACCATGGAATTTTAACAGATTTTTAAAAAAGACCTAAAAGTCATCTGAACAACAAATATGCTATACAAAAATTTCTCCTCCCATTTTGGTGGGTATTTTTTAGACAGAGTCTTGCTCTGTTGCCCAGGCTGGAGTACAGTGGTGCAATCTCAGCTCACTGCAACCTCTGCCTCCCAGGTTCAAGCAATTCTCCTGCCTCAGCTTCCCGAGTAGCTGGGATTACAGGCGTGAGCTACCACGCCCGGCTAATTTTTGTATTTTTAGTAAAGACAGGGTTTAACCATGTGGCCAGGTTGGTCTTGAACCCCTGACCTCAAGTGATCCACCTGCCTCAGCCTTCCCACCTTGTTTTAGATTACACATACAGTCCACACTCTAAGACTAGTAATAGTAACCTCACTTCATGTT